AATGTATTCAAATAAAATGTCATTTAAAAGACGAACAATGTATCTACATATACAGACTGTTATGTGTCTTTAAACTACAATGTGTTTAGAAACCAGAGTTTTATTCCTGTGGAGCTCTGTTATATACTTAGAAGCGCCAACAATATGAAGCTCCTACAAAAAGAGGACATTAAGATAGAAAAGAGGGGCAGAAGGGTTCAGGCCCAAAATAGGGACTGTCTCTCCTCAATAGGGAGACCTCGGAAGTATGCAATATTATTTGTATGTGAGAATCATTAATCTCTACAAATACAAATATATACAGGAATATATATATAGATATAATAAAATTCAAGGAAGGTCAATAACCTTTCATGATTCTCCTGACCTGAGTCATTGTCCTGGAGTCTAAGATGTAGGTGGCATGCAACCAAAAAAAAAAAAATGCTGGACTGATCCTGTTTGGACAGTTATCGGATATAATGGGTAGCATTGTTCTGCGTCTGCTCCAAGGACTGCAAGACCAGCAGTCTTGTCGCTACCAGGAGGTTTCTCAACAAGCATCAGTGTACACGCAGGGCTCTATTCGCTGCATCTGATAAACCAGGCATATATTTCCTTTCTTTCTTCTTCTTAGTTATTAAAATGCTAAGTTTGTCACCTGTGCCCTACTCATCAAATGCAAGGCAATTAACACATTACTTGTTAACCTCTATGTGCACAAATGTTATACTGCTTGTATTTATCTTTCCTAATCTGATAGCAGGAGCTACTGAAATTAGTAAAAAAAGATCATTTTTGCACGATCAATTAATTGTTCATTTGAAAATGATTACATGCCATGCCTCTGTTTTTGATATAAGGCTAGATTTCTCTTTCAAGTAAAATAGCAAAAAAATAGCATCTTCGAACATAAACATCTCAGTAGGTGATTTCAGTAAGGAAGCCTTGGAAGGAAAATCTAGGACTAGGTCATTAGGTTTTTTTCTTTTTTTACTGTAATGTAGGTGACATCACCACATGAATCTATTATATCGAGTGAATGCATTGGCTCTTTCATAGCTTCTCACAACGTTCTCTTATCTTCAAAAGGTTCTCATGTGAACCAGACTGGTTCTTTTTCTCTGCAAAACAACCACTTCTAACATTAAAAGGCCTAGTACAATATTTCAAATAAAATAGGTTTATAAATACAGAGTCAATGCATCTCTACTCACAAGTTGTGGATGTGGGGGGGATATTACTGACAATACGAAAATATGTTTTATAATAATGTTTTACATTAAAATTCAAATGGCTGGATCTCTTCAGAAAAAGGAGAAGAGACAATGACGACATTGCATAATTCTGTCATAGATCATATGTTCCAGGAATTTTAATTCTGCCTCCTAAACCACATCCACATTTGAATACACAGGATAATGTTTGCACCCCATGATGTTTCTGATCTGTATTTCCCATAATCGACAGCCAGCCTTAAGTAGACTTTCTTATAGTAAAACGTTGCAACTAGTTTTTTTATTTTGTAAGCCAGTGACTTGAGGATACTCTATCAACTGAGCGGTAATTGTCTCAAAACCAAGATTAACTACTCTAGGAAACATTATCACACATTAATAATGAAACATTATGGAGGGTTATGGTCTAAATGCACATATATTTCACATATAGTACAAAAAAGATCAACCAGTCTGCTGTACATCTGAATGCAAGCACATGGATAACAAATAGCATCCTGTCTTTATGTGATGCACGAGTAAGTTATCATCTTTAAATATTCACATTTAGAGGACTTTTTTGGACATCTTTATACATACTAACAAGTGCTGTAGTACACAGGACTACAGATCTTGAATTTACAGTCTCTCTAACATTTCTTTCTTCATCTCCCCCATATCGTCAATCAGACACGGACAAGCACATTCACATTCAATGCTCCCACTAACTCTGAATGCCAAAATGCAAACCAAAACACCCACAGTGATGAGGGAATGTATAAAATCAGTTAAACACTAGCTTAATTCTTATATTACTATTTTCGGCTTAGGGACTGTATGGTAGCCTGAAGCAGCTCTAGATACAGCAAAATGATTCAAGACAGATTACAGGAAGGGCATTTTCACCATTGTTTGCTCATTAACTATATAGCGCTTGTTCCAAACAATATAACAGCTAGCGATCTTCCATTGCAATATACATGAAAAAAAAGCATTAAACGACAAGATGGACTAAATTGGTGTATACATCACTGTAGCTTGGCATGATGTCAAGGACAGAATTTACATTATAAAACAGCAGCATGCCAAAATCTGTAATTGTATTGGCTCACTTATAGGATTACATAAGCTTCACCTGGCCTTAGATTCATATGTTCCAAAGAAATGATGAGGAAATTATACTTAACTATCCATGGCACAAGGTATTACCAACTCCCAATGCTTTCAACTCTGTGGCAAATTTCAAGACAATGTAGTATTGTGCTTTAACCTTTATGTCAGCAGTAATAACAATCCAATGCTCCTATTAATCCTTCCAGGCCTCAAAAACACCTCACAAATTAGCCAGAGACATATGTGTCTACAGTGCAAACCAATACATCTTCACTTCAAATATCAGTTTATGTTATTCATGTACAGTGACAGTGAGAGATGGGGGAAAAAAGAAAAGCAATTTAGAATCCAGAAAGGTTCCATATAGCTTATGTTAAGAGACCTCGAGTGTCATTCACAAAGAGTAATCATAGCATAAAGTTCTAAAAGTGGCACTAAAACTAAACAATTTCATGATAGGACTTTGCAGCACAACTACTCTTCATGAATAGTGAAATATTTATTACATTGTATTCCCTGCAATTTACTATTACATTTTACTATCGTGTCATTTACATTTTTATTTATTTAACCATTTATATTTCCCAATTCACGGTGTACGCTTGATTGACCTGGCACAGTCGTAGCAATTTATTTATACCACACAATGCAATATGTTCATGTATGAAACTATGGAAAGTATGGCTGGGAGTGCATTTACTCCTGAAGCATTTCTACTCCCAAGTTTATATGAGCACGCTGGAGCATCACAGAGCAATGACATCAACCTGGATATAGAATTGCAGCAGAGGTCAGCATGATTTACCAGTAAATCCATCAACAATATTTACTGGGTGAGTGTGTTAGGGACAGTCATGTTCTGAGAAGTGAGAGTTCAGCTTAAATATGTTGTACTAATGCATCGCTTTGAGTAAATATAGTAATAGGAATATTACCCTTGGATAAACTTTTTAAAATACAGCCAAAAAAATTTCTTTAAATGAACACTCCAAGCACCATTAACACTACAGCTAGCACAACTAAATTGTAAAGAATCAAACCGATTTTGATAAGTTTTACTTCGTACCTAGGTTAGTACGTTGTGCATATTCAATTCACTTACTCACATTGGATATGGGTGAATGCATTAGCATAAGTAATAGATGGGATAAATAAGTCACATGGTTTTCTTTGTCTAAGAATTCTGTAATGTGGTTCTAAGCCAAAAGGAATCATATGAATGTTCTGATTTGATTGGTTTAACTACACAAAGGTAGGCTTTGCCACATACATTAAAGGAACACTATAGCGTTAGAAATACAAAACTGTAGTCCTACCGCTATAAGGTCCCTCTGCCTACGTGGCCCCTGCCCTGTAAATAAAACCACTTTTTACCCCACATACCTCTTTTTAGCATTGAGGTCCCAAGGAGCTGGATTGATCTCCTCCAGTGACATCACACCAATAGATAAACCTAATGCGCATGCATAAGTGGATTTTGAAGATGCTGGATGCTCTCATGCAAAGCGTAAGGATGTCCAACGTTGTTTTTTTTTACAAAATTGAGAATGCAGGTAGTGCCTGTGGCTGCAGTTTTAATGGGACAGGGACACTGCACACAGACCCCTTCAATGAGATAGTGTTCCTTTAATTGGTGTCTTGGGGGTAGGTTGGGAACTACAATTATTTTCTGGACAAAGACTGTCTCATCCTCTGCCAGAGTCCAGCAATTAACATCTACTGTTGAATATCCATCATCCTCTAGCATCCTTTATTATATATTAGAAATTGTCACCAGAATAAAACTACACGAAATGCAAGTGTGATGCGTATTCATATTTCTGACACACAGAAGAATTATAAACATATTAACATCACAGCGAGCCTCCAAACAAGAAGAAAGAAAATAAATACATTATAAGAAGTGTTATTTTCTACAGGTTGGGCACCTGCTTACTCACTGCCAATGAGCTAAGAACAGCTCAGAAAAAGCTAGGGGCAGAAAGTGGTGCCCATAGATCCCAGATAAGAAGTGAAACTGTTAAAAACTTTTTGTCTGCTTGTGTGTGTGTGTGTGTGTGTGTGTGGTGTGTGGATGCGCCCTCCAGGGCACTGTAGCAAGCTGTAGTGGGTATGGTGCTTGGAGCGATTGTTTGATAACATATATGAAACCATAAATATTTGCCATAGTTTAGCCCTTTAACGGTTACACTGTACTTCTTTCCTAACTTACTGGAGCACTTAAGGCACCATTAAGCAGCACATGGTCCCAAATGAACAATAATTTAGATTTTTTTTATTTTTTTACTTGAATTCATAATTGGTGTTGCACACTAATAAAATTGTGTTCACTATTTCTCTGAGTGTATTTGTATGCATAACAATATGTAGATCATATCATACATTAGAATTGTGATTTAATATCATAGAAGGACTATTTCCTCTTTTTGAAGGTCTTTGGTGACAAGCAAATAAAAAAAACCAAGAAAAAAAAACAAACCTGTACAGCGAGACCTTTATATGACATATTCCCCATGCTATAGTTTATAAAAATGAGGGAAGCTCTTTTAAGAGATCTATGGCAATTTACCTCAGCACGGAATGCACCTGTCTATTTATTACCTGTTATATGTTAAATATATATATATTATATATATATTGCATTGTTACAATAGAATACAATATTATATACAAAATACAATATACAAACCCTATATATTACTTGTATATTGTGTGTGTGTGTGTGTGTGTGTGTATACACACACACACACACACACAATATACAAGTAATATATAGGGTTTGTATATTGTATTTTTGTATATAATATTGTATTCTATTGTAACAATGCAATGTTTTGTGGACCCAGGACATACTTGAAAACGAGAGAAATCTCAATGTATCCATCCTGGTAAAATACAATTCTCTGTTGAGAGATCATAAAGCTTAGATAAATGAATGTATAGGTCATGCTTTCTAAAAAGACATAACTGTATTAAGTACAATTGGGAAATTGTTGGTCATGCCCTTTAGAGCGTGGAGTCAATCTGCCTGTATTCTGTGAACAGAGAAAGTGTGCTTGTTATAAGAACACAAGGTGTGGGAGCAAAACCTCAAACTAGAATTATGGTTATTAGTAAGAGCCTAGAGATGGTTGTTACTGCAGATGATTGGTAACGTGAAATAAAATGAAACTCTTTGAAACTGAAAGATTTGTGACGCAGTAATAGGGGACAAGGATAATAAAATAGCTCCTTGGGCGATGATGGAGGATCTTCTAATTTACTGGCGCTTGCAAATATGTTACATAAATGGGGTCAGTACACCAAATCTTGATTTATCAGGAAATTATCAGAACATTGGCATTGGAGTTTTGGAACAAGGGTTAATTTATCATAATTCACTGTCTGATAATTGAGCCACTATGATTGCCAGTTTAGAAACTCTGCCAAAATTGTGCATTATCTTGTTGGTGACACCTCCTGCAGATTGCCAATGGTTTTGTTTATTATAGAATAATCTTGGGTTATACATAAGCAATACTATGCATAGGATCCAAACCTGCTGCATTTGATATTCTGTAAAAGTGACACTGTTCCATAGTCTACAGATACCATTATAGAGTGGCAGAAACACAGCCACTCACCAAAGATGGGCAACCGTGCCACACTAACTGTTGTAAGCCATGACCACCATGCTGGGCAGCTATGCTTGTAAAATTCATGGCGGTAGGATTACTCAGAATCATTGGATTCTCACCAGCTGGTGGTATCTGCTAAGGTGTCTGTACTATACAGTAACACTGTATCATCACAAAATCCCTATCATTCAAAGCCAGAGAGCATGGAGCAATAAAGTGTTTATATCAATGGTGCAGGCCAAATGGTCATGGATTCTAAACTATAAATCAAGCATTTATCTATATAGATTCATCATGAAGGAAGGGGAAGTGGCATTTCCAACATATAGACCCTGGTTGGACAACTTATTTCATTACATGTATGTTAAGTCACAGTACACAATGTTGGGATCACCCTAATAGATTGATGGCATTCTACACTGAACTAAAGTAGATGGTGGGACAATAGCGGCCACATGTTAAGTCTAGATGACTTACAGTGAGTCTGTACATAAATGGTGTTAATGATTCAAAGAGGGCAGTCTATTTTACTTTATATTTAATGTAAACCACTAATTCCTTAAAGATGAGACTGCAAATCCCTTCCCTTATTCTGTTTATTTTCCAACGCGAATAAAATAGCTGCACACTTGTCCAAGATCTGCGATAATCTTATTTATTAGAAAACAAAACAATCATTGATTGCCTTGAACAATAAAGATCTCAGTATTTTACAATAGCTGACCTTCAATGGAACAACCACTCATTGTAGAATTTAACCTAGGGGCAATGAAGTTCTATGGAACAAGACTTGTGCTCCCCCTAGCAAATGCTGTAAGAACTGAAAGAAAAAAAATTCAAGAAAAAAATGCATCGCACATTAATATGAAATTGAAGAAAAAGGTGACCTCTACACTTCTGCAGCGGAAAAACTGCCACAAGCCAAATAAATTTTCAATTGGTCTTTAAACATAAACGAGCTTTCAAACAATAGATGGCTGAGTGGGAACGTTTCTGTATCTTTCCAAGGAAACATAATAAATTATATAAATAAATGGGAAACGTCAGGTCCCATTAGACCCATTTTTCTTTTATGCAGTGAAAAATTCAGATTAACAAATTAAAACTTCAAGTCAAGCTCCTGCATTTTATACAAATACTTATGCTATAAAACAATGGGAAAAAGTATAATCTCATATCCAATATATATCAATGTTATCGGCTGCTGATATCAGAGCCATCATAATACCACCATTCTGATCATTTTCAGTAATCAGCCCTATACCTTGAGTTAAGCGCTCAAGTTTAAGCAATCACAATCCTGCTGAAAAAGATCTCACTCTTTAATGGAATCATGGGACACTGTTTTCAAAACCTTTTGGGTGCTGACTTTGCTCACTTTACTAACAAATGTGTATGCAACAAAACACCTCCTCGAGTTTATGACATGTAGAAGCAATGTCAAATAAAGCTTCTTTGTTAAAAAGTTACTCCAAGCATAATAACTACTACAACCCACTGTATTGGTTATTTTGCCTGGCCCTATTTCCTAGTAATGTGGCAAACTGATTTACAATAGCCGCCCTCTAAACTGATCCTTCTGGGCACTGGCAGGGATGCGCAGAGCTACGGAAGCCGTATGAGCATTCGGCCGGTCATTCATTGGCTGAGAGCATCAACTGTCTGCTCTCAGCCAATGAATGCAACTATTGCATAGACATATGCACTGAAATGACATTAACCAGCCAAGAACTCTTGTTCTTGGCTAGCAAATGATGCTGCTAGATGTGGAGTTCCATTTCCAGCGGCAAAAAAGTTAAAGCTTTGTATGTGCAGTGTTTCATAGCGACATGCTGCATATATAGACTGCAAGGACAAGGGGTGCAGTACCAAATATGGAGCCCTATATCTTGGATATTTTTATCCCCACTTATTCTGCCTTCCCAATGTGCTACCAGTCTCCTTGGGGAGTCTAGGAGTTGATCAGGAGTGGAAGAAGCACAGTGATAGAGACACACAAACATGCAGGAAGAGAAGAGCAGCCTGGCAGGGACAGAGACTGGGAAACCATAAAGTGCAGGTCTGGCGGCACACTGCATAAGTGCACTCTGCACAGTAGGCTGAAACTGTCTGTGTCTATATATTTATATATATTTGTATCTCTGTGTGTCTGTAAGTTGAGTGTGCCAATAGTTATGTTAAGTGTTGGAGGGGGTGGGGGGCGAAGGGAAGAGGTCATCAAATAATTTTTAAAACTCCCACTTTTCTCTTCCAGGCACAAAGCCCCTTCCAGACACAAATAACTGAAGTGGTCATGGGGAGCATGGAGCAACACTTTAAATAAGTATACTAATTAAAGCACAAAAAATGCACTGAAATATGTAAAAATATGTATAGAACAATATAACAATGGTTAATCAATGACAATTACACATGTGCTTAATATTGAATATGTCCATTTACAGGTACCTTGAGGAAACATACATATTTCATATATGTGTGTGGTGTCTATATGCTTTTATTCTATTCTCCCACATCTATTAGCATTTCCTTTTTTCCCTTCCTTTCTCCTCACTCTCTATTCCATATACATAATATTTATGACAGTATTGACAAATTGTGTATATTTCCCCTTCCTTACCCTAATCAAACCTGCATGCTATCTGCTCTAAAGTTGCTTTAACCTTGTATCACAACTCAACTTTGAATTTTGCTCAGAAATGCTTTAGATTTGAGAGAGGGAGGATCTCCCCAAAAGCTTTCCGTTCCAAAACTCTGTTATATAACTCCATTCAATAAAGAAGGTTTTACAAAGTACTAATTCATCTATTTGACACACACACACACACACACACCTATCTATCTACCACACACAGGGCCGGCCTTAAGCCTTTAGGCGCCCTGTGCGAAACATCTTCACAGCGCCTCCCTCTCCCGTCATCCACGTCCACAGGCAGACAGTCACACACACACACAGGCAGACAGTTACACACACAGGCAGGCAGTCAGTCAGTCACACACACACACAGCGGCAGACACTCACACTTACCTCTGTTCATTATGGAGGTGAAAGTAGTGCAGCTCCTGGATTCTGCTTGTTGGGGAAGCAGGGACTCCTTCCTGCTTCCCATGCAGCAATAACCCGGTACTTCAAGCCCCGCCCCGCCACACGCTAAGCCCCACCCCAGCCTTATTGTTTTTTTGTTGTTGTTTTTTTTTATTCCGGGTGGAGAATAATGAAATCCTCCACCCGGGTAGCCGGCCATGTGTGAACTGTGTCGGCCGCAGAGCGCCCCCTTCTCCATGGCACCCTGTGCGGCTGCACAGCTCGTACACCTTTAAGGCCGGCCCTGACCACACACCTATCTCCATCCAACATGATCACAGTTACAAACATACTCTGTTCCTCTCATATTTAGACCTTTATCCTGAATATCACTAGCAGCCATACAGCCACATCCTAACCATACAAGACAGCACCTGAATACAGTGTTAAAACATTTGTTGTGACATTCCACTGAAAATTCAAGGACCTTCTGAAATGAGCAACAATTACACGTATTTAACATGTGTACATTTTTTTTCTTTGCAAACATTAAAGAGGTGTTATTCAAGTGGATATGTAAGGTGCGGCTCAAAGCTGCTAACAAAAATAAAAAATATATACTAGACAGATATGGCTGTTCTATGAATCAGGGTAAATACTATGCACGTCAGAGGATATTATTCACAATCAAAAGATTAAGAACAGCAATAAATCACTTCCTCTTATGGCATTTCTTCTCCTGTTATTGGTGATTTCAACACCTGTACTGACAACATTATCAGCTCTGACACATCAAAATTCCTGTCTTCTGTTTGCTCCTTGAGACTTATTTAGTGGGCCAACTTCCTTACTCACAAAGCCTGTAACATTTTTGACCATAACCAGACTAAGATTTTGAGTTCCATACTGCATGTATGGTTTAGCAGTTTTGCCCCATAAAACATTGTTTTACTACATCATGGAGTATAGCGAACCCCTAATCTAGGGCTATTCTGTACATATATGCCTCAATCTTCCCAAGATTAGCAGGAGTTAAACTGCATGGCAGCAGCAAGGTAGAGTATTGACACTATAGGCACACAGACCACTCCAGCCCATTGAAGTGGGTTTGGTGCAAATGTCCCTGCCACACATGGTCC